CAGTCTCCGCATACTCTATATAACTAAATCACCCTGTGGCTCGGTCATAATATTCATAAAGTCCCATTGAACAGCACCTACCTGGTCAGACTGGCCAACCTGAAGTACCACTTCCCCTCTCAACCACCGCCGTGTCGGCCCGCCTGAGGGTGGAGAACTTGAAGGGACCATGCTTCTGTGCAGGTCTAATTCTATGACTACCAACATCTTTCCCAGCTCGACTACTCTGTATCGGTTCTCGGCAAGACCCGCCCCACGCGATAACATTCTCCAGGACCGTATTCTAATTTAGAGGTGCGCGAAACAAAATGATCTTGAGATTCCTCTTGCAGAGAGCACTACTTATTGTCAGGGAAGACGAAGGAGACAAACGACGAACAAAAACCAAAAATATAGACCTTGATGGAGTGAGAGAATTGATTCCGATGCGGGGAATCGAACCCCGAGCTGCTGTGTGAGAGACAGCGATGTTAGCCATTACACCACATCGGATAACTTGTTGGAACATTAGGATTTGATATTCATGTTGCAGAGGGCATAGTTTGTCGAAAATTCTTCAGTGTGTATGGGTCGTTTTGTCGTCCAAGAGTCAGGTATTGTTCCGATTGGTTACCAGCCAGCTCGAAGCCTCGAAGACACTTTCAGACCCACAGCCTTGGCGGGAGAACCATTGCTAGTTTCCAACAATCACTGTTGACAAAGTACGTTGACAAAGTACTTTGAGCATGCATCAAGATTACAACTTTCATGGGGTTGTGTCCCCCATGACCTCGTGCTTGTGTTATATTGGGCCATCGCTGTCTCCAATAGTGTACTGGGGAAGGGGAAAGGAGAGTAGCCTCGTGCACAGTGAGGTACACGAAATAACAAAAATAAATTCAATGCACAAAAGAACTGCACTCCGTAGTCATCTTCCGATGCGGGGAATCGAACCCCGAGCTGCTGTGTGAGAGACAGCGATGTTGACCATTACACCACATCGGACTTTGTTGGGGAAGATTCACCATCTTTGACTACATAAACCAGTTAAAGCTATTGATGTTCTTCATATCATGCCGGAGCGGACCAAAAATAGTTCGCCTTGCCCTCTATCTACCCAATGGATTGATCATTAGGATGATCAGCCATGGACCGGGCCTATCCAAATGTGTAATTATATGGAGCTACGTGATTAACACCTGGAAGGTTCGTAGTATTTCGCGTTGAATCCTGACCTGTGCATATATATATCCGTTGCCGCTGGACGAGCGGCCGCAGGGCAATCCCAATGATGATTGGGTCGAAGAGCACAAAATTCAACACCGTAGATACCCACAGCATTGCACACAACCCAGAAGAGCAGACAGTGGCCAGAAACCATCGAGGCCAGAGCAGCTGTGAGGTTAGCTCGGTGTATCGCCGAAGGCATTGAACGCCCGATGAAAGCTAGCCACCGAAGAACAGCCACGTGCATCGCTGACAAAGCCCCATACTGACTCCCAATCGAAAATGGGAAGGAAATGGAAAACAGAGACTGTACCACAGTACCGAGATCTAAACGATGTATTATATAGTGATATGTACAAAAGTCCACGCCGCATCGCAGCAGGACGACCCGGAAGTCAACGCCTCCAATGTATATACCCAACGATTCGAGCGATCTTTCCGCTGCAACCGCTCGACGATGCAAAAGACCAATGCTATACTCTCTAGAAATTCGATCATGACCATCCCTGCCTCTATCCCTGATGCACAAAGGCGTCACCGTCGCGGTAAGAACCAACCCGGTTAGATACGTGCCTTTATCGAATCGGGAAGAAACCGGTCTTCGAACCTGCGCATCAGTTTATTGGTCTGCTCAGCCAAACTGAGAGTCAAGATCTACAAAACGTGTGAGCAGTGGAGCACTAAGTCGTGAAGCCTAGCCTCGACATGCGGGGATTTACTCACAGTGTGAGGCAAGATACGAGCCAGGTGGGCGAAGTAGCCCTTGTAGATCGCAAGTACTCCCTCCTTTCGGATGGTTTTGAAGAGGCAATCAAATGCTCCCTTGTAGAGATCACCAGTCTGATTGTACATTCTGGACATAACCGTGTCTGTTGATAGAATTAGCTGGCCCACATTCGAACAATGACCAATGACCAATTGTACGTACCGGGAGGGTGCATGACACAGCAGACCACGAAGCCAGATGCCGTACTACTGGCTAGGTGAAGGGCTGGACCATCCTCCATTCCCAGGTGCTTCACCAAGCGTCGCTTTGCAAAGAAATAAGTGGGAAGCTGGACAGAGCTGCCGAACCCAGTGCGAACCATAGCCGCTCCAACACCCCGGTAGAGTCCGCCAACGCCTTCAGACGTGTAAATCTTTCGCAGACCATCAAAGGAGTTTCGATATTTGTGCTGCGTGCCGACGGGAAGGAAGGGAGAATAAGACTGCAACCGAGTTTTCACGAGGAAGAAAGGAGATCCAGCTGCTGCACCGATGATACCTGACGCGGCTCCCGAGAAGACATTGATACCCAGGGACTGAACTTGCGGATCATTATAGACAGCGGTTGTGATACCCTTGCGCAGCGGCTCATAGAAGCCTAAACGACAGCCGTTGAGCAAAATTTGGTAGATGTACTAAGTTATCCCCCGTCAGCACCCAAGATCCAGCTACTGTGTAAAGACCACATACAGCGGAGCCGATTCCCCGGAACAGCCCGCGGGGACCTTCGTTTTGCAGAATGACCTTAACTCCATGGAGGACGCCCTTATATTTCTTGACCGCTTCGCTTTTCGCCTGAAGTTCTCCCTGTAGCTGTAACCTGGAAATCGAGAGAAAGTCAGCCCCGTCAATCAAAGCGGATAAGAGGAAAAAGCATACCGAATCTTCACAGTCTCAAAACTATGAGTGACCGTTACCGCTCCGCATGCTGCAATACCTCCAGCAATGAACGCCCTTCAAAGCAATTGTGTCTCATCAGCACAAAATATCACCATGGAACTAAACAACCAAATGTTGGCGCATACCCTGTTGTTGTCGACATAACAACTGACAAATGATCACTGCAAGCAGCCGAGTCTTATTGAACAAAGGAAGGAGATAGCAGAGTCGAGATGGTTGCTAGAAAGGAGAAATCAAAAAGAAAGACTGCAACAATGGCACAGTAGTTTCGGGGACCCTAAGTTTTGTCAGAAACAAGGCGTCCCTCCTGCTTCTAGGTCACCTACTGGTGAGGAATAATGTCAGATTATAGTGACCAACTCAGTCATGGTCGCAATCCAGCCCGAATCTGAGATGTATTGCGGCGAAGAGATCAATTCCCCGTTGCTGATTGGCCGCATTGCTGCCAATGCCTCCGATCATCGGATCGGCATCCCTTAGCCGCCGGAGCGGATCAACTAGTCCTCCGCTTAGCGTCGGTTAAACGCGCCAAATCCCCATAAGGGAAGCAAGCGCGCGTTCCTCCCCAATTTCGCAAGCTCCCCGCATCAAACCAATCTGTTGCTAGCATTGAGGATCAGCAGGGACACAAGGCGACCAGAGGACGGATTCGCAGGACACGGAGGAGGATTGCTAGGTTGGCTGAATATCCTTGCTTTATCCTCTCTGGGTTTATGACGACCAATTTGCGGTAATACCAAGCCATAAATCATGTCGGAAGCCCAGCAGCAACCCCAGCAGCAGTCGCTGCAGTCGCAACCTCAGGCTCCGATGCAGACTCAAAAAGTGTCTGATATAATTCGTAGCTTTCGTCCTGCAAAGGTTAGTCTATGGCTCTCTTCTCGATTGATCCATTGGTCTGACTGTCTCCATGTCGAGAGTATAGGCCTTCAAAGGATCGAAGCAAGAACCCTCCAACTATGTAACATCCTTGGATTTCGATGATCAAGGCGACTACCTGGTGGCTTCAGGCGACGATGAGACCATTCAGGTTTTCGACATCAAAGAGGGTAAATCTACCAAATCAGTCCCTAGCAAAAAGTATGGTGCCCATCTAGCGAGGTTCACGCACCATTCTCGTCAAATCCTTCATGCGAGCACGAAGGTCGATGGTATGTCTATCGAGAAGGTCTCACTGGGCTCGTTTGTCCGGACTCACATTTGAACAGATTCTCTTCGACTACTGGACCTTCACAATGAGGGCTATGTGCGTTATTTCTCCGGTCATACCGACAAAGTCACTTGCTTGGCTCTCTCTCCTGGCAGCGACGCCTTTATCTCATGCTCAAAGGATGACACTGTTGCGCTCTGGGATCTTAGCTCGAGGAATGCGCAGGGGAAGTTGAAATTGGCCACGCCTTACCTCGTTGCCTTCGATCCCTCTGCTTCCGTGATCGCTATTGCCTCGCAATCTACCTCGTCCGTCCTTCTATACGATTTCCGCAACTATGACAAGGCTCCGTTTTCCACCTTCGATCTTGCGCCGTACGAAGAAAGGTACACGCCTTCTACACGTGGAAGAGCGTGGACTCGCCTTGAATTCTCAAACGATGGAAAACACTTGATGCTCGGGACGGACTTTCATGGGCATTTCATCCTTGACGCCTTTGAAGGCAATATGAAGGCTTTTCTGCTCGGCAAGAACGGATCCCCTGGCAGAGCAGCTCCTGTCTCAACAACCGGAAAACCACTTGGTCAAGGAGATGCATGCTTTACCCCGGACGGACGATATGTTCTGGGGGGCTCCGGAGACCACTCAGATGTTCTCGTATGGGATATGCAACAGACACCGGATGCCAACTCCCTCCTGCAGCCTATGACCAGATTACCAAACCGTGGTCGGACCGCCATACTAGAATATAATCCACGGTATAACATGCTTGCTACTGCCGATAAGGAGGTGGTCTTTTGGCTTCCAGAAGAAAATTCTAGGTCGGCTGAAAAATAAGACTATGCGTTTTGATCCAATTCGGATCGACGGGAAAAGAAGTCTAGCTATCATCCGGTCAGATCAAACCAAGGACATGAGTGGATTGCTGCTGCGGGTTATCCTCCCTCCAACAATCCTTTTCCTGGTCTGTTGAGTGATTCTACGTTTTTCGATCTTTGTCTTTCCCTGCCAAGCTTCTGGCAGTGTCACAAACCCACACCAGAGGCCCCTCCAAGCCTTCATCGCCATTCCTATGTTCCTCGATGGTGGTCTCAATTTGTTTGACCACAGTGCGATTGCTCGATATGGTCGTGACTCCTGTGGACCACCCATACATAAACACACTGTAGTTGATATCGGACAGAATCTTTGCGACTTTGCGGGATACCGGAGGGAGAGCCCTCGCCGATTCAATAGCGGATTTGGATTCCACCGTTCTGATTGGTATTTTCCAGCCAGATGGTACTTCATAATCCGACAATTCCTGGAACTTTTCAAGAAGAGACGTCGTGTCACAGTCATTGAAGGGTGCATCACCCATCAATAACTGGGTCCTTTTTCTCTCGGCATCCGTTCCGATAGTATCAACTATCTCCCGCATTCTCCTCGCAGCTTCCTCCGTGCAGACCAAGTCATGCGCGGCCATCGCCGGCCAAAGCTCTGTGGGCAGCAATGGCCGCTGCTTTTCTACCTCGACCTGCCTAAAAATGGCTTTATGATGGAAGGGAGAAAGGGTTACGGTTTTGTAATGCGACAAATCTGAAACCAGGGCAAGCAGCAGAGTACAGTCCACATTTAAAGTGGAAGTAAATCGCTTGAAGGGGCTGGGAAGCAATTGAGACAGTTTCCCTTCCTTGACAGCAGCATGCTCAGGACCTTCTGCATCCTCCGTGTGCGCTCTGGCTATATCCCCTCCACAAATCACTGTGATACCATAGCTTCGAATCACTTTCAATAAATCATCGATCTCAGGACTTTCCCCCTCCTCAATTTTTGGAATTACGAATCGCAGCCGAGGATGTTTATACCTGATTCGCATAGCATTGGCAGCTTTTCTCATATCGCGCGCCAACTTGATCAGCTCGACCTCATCATCGTCGTCATCGTCGCTGTCGTCGTGGTCGTTGTCGTAATTTCGTAAAACGGTCCTAGCCTCCCCATCACCTTCGTCTTCCGAATCCGCCTCCCACCCTTTCTTGGCCATCTCGAATAGAAGACGAGTTTCGGAAATCGTCGAGACCTTCACCCATTCTTCACCATCATCTGCGATGATATCGACAAAGACGCTCTTGCGCTTGTCTTGACTGGGCTTCTTCTTCGTCTGATTCTCCTCAGATCCCTTTCCGCCATGTTGTGCACCGCCATCCCAGTAGAACCGCTTCCCGAAAGCAACCAAACCAGTGCACGTATTCTTAGCAACGTTCCAAACAGCCTCGTAGAAGGGTAGATTCGACGACCGCAAGGCATGCAGAAGTCGCAGCTCGACCTCATCATCATGCGATTCTGTTTCTGCATCCGCCGTAGCAGACACCGCGTGCACCTTTTTGGAAAGTTTCTCGAGCATGCGCAATTCGGATAGAACGTTGGATCGGAGCGACCGGACCTCGACCAGTTGGGGGTTGCGCAGGTTGCGGTTGAGCATAGACTGGAGGGTATCTATTTCGCTGAGGAGACGGCGGCATTTGTTCACGAGGGAGGTCGCGAGGGCGCGACTGCTTTCGGTGTCGGATTTATCTTGAATGTCATCTTTGGCGGTATCTCTTGGATTGTCAAAGGTTTGACTGCTTGGGTCATTGTTGTGCATGGCTGGCAGCCAGGCGATAAGGTGAGCGAAAATGAGTCCGAGGCGGGATGCTATGACGGCTGTGGTAGGTAAAGTAGACACAAGGCGGAATGCCAGGTGCGCCAGAGTGCTGCGCTTATTACATCTCTAGTGCAGATTTTCGGCTGGGTAATCGAACATACATCTCATTAACATGTAGATAGCATATACACATAAATTCAATTAATCCATCACTGGAGCAGTAGGAAGTTAGGGCCATTCTAAAAATACACCAATAGGCCAAACGCCATCAAATGCCTGCAGAGTTGAAACCAAACGGAAAGATCCTTAGAAGATCGAACCTTCAAGTTCCCGAGAATTGATATAAAGATGGTTTTGATGCCACTTCTGAACACAATGATAGAGAACACATATGCATTCACAATTGGTCATTGCCTGGTTTGAGATAAGACTTCGGCTCCTCCGCTATGAGCCAATTAGTCCGATTTATGGGCCGTGAGCCTCTGCCGCTCGCTCGAGTTTCGTGGTGACTCGTCCTCGTCCTCAGACCATTTGTCACCATCCTCACCTACAGCGAAGATCGTCTCACCATCAAGAGAGTCTCGCTGGCGCGGAGCAGATGGAACAGGTTTAGGAGGTACCGGTGACAGCTCACGGCGTGTTGCGGAGGCGGAATTTCCTTCTGGGCCGATAAACGCCTCTTCATCGTCCAGTCCACTATTGAAAGATCGAATCTCGAACCCGTCATCGTCTTGTGCAAGCTACAGTCGATGTTAGTATGCATTCATTGGGTGCCATGGAAGCTTTGTCCAGATCATACCTCGTCACTCATTGCGAACCGCCTGTTGTTCGCAGTAGGCCGCCAGAGATAGGCAACGAACCCAATATCGAACAAGTACACAAGGTTGAGCCAACCATCAAGCACAAACCATCTGGTCTTCCAATGCTCTGGCACAAAGCTTGCTTCGCTACGACCAGCAAAAGCAAATGAGTTGATGAAAAAGAAGCCGAAGATCACGATGATGCTGCCCAAAATACACCACCAGAGCTTCTTGTACATCATTGCTTTGACCTTCTGCTTTCGGTCGATCAGATCCTTCATGGTAGCGTTCAAGGAGTTTAGTGTCCACACATAGAACGCAGTCAGTGTACCAGCAAGTGGGAGCACGATGAGGAGCACCAGTGGCCCAGCGCTGTCGGGTGTAATTGATAGACTTGCGACAGCATAGATGACGCCAAAAACGAAGTGGGTGATGGCCAGAACACGGACATAGATCATGGTCCGGCCCAAAGAGGGCTTGACCACGCCGTATCCCATGCAAACGATGAGCAAAAGGAAGAAGGAGAAAGAATTGCGTCCCGCATTCAGGACAGCAACGATTACCATCAGCACCTTTGCACCGATATTCAAACCGTGCCGATTCTGGAAATCTGCTATTGGTTAGGGACCTGGACGACAAATTGAACTTCAGCGGATGTGCGACGGGTGATTTACCATAAAAGCCCCAGGTCATCAATTGCTCCACAATCAAAAAGACCAAGATGGCGGTGATGTAGTTTTGCACCGGCACTGCAATCATCAGTAATTGAGCGCCATTCAGTCGAAGGTTTCTACTCACAAATGTCATGACGATTCTGAACGTAGAGGAATGCCCAAAATCTGTGTTAAGCCCATCAGTACCCCTAGAACTTGGGAATGACCTCATGAACCGGCGACCTACACTCCAATGACCGCATAGACAATAGTCAAACCACCGTAGAAGGGAAGTTTTGCAATTTGAGCAGCCGGAAGTTCACCGTATGCGTTCCTGAACTCAACCGCGGCTTTGTAATCCTTCCCGGAATATCCATAGGTGCTGACGCAATAGAAGCCGGTCTTCTTAATAGGGTAATTGATTGCGGCTGGGTTATTCAGATGTACCGCCTGAGATACGATAGGGAATTTGGATGCTTCGCTCGCGTTGGCGGCCAGAATGAAGGAACCTGTTTGATCTTCTTCGCATAGTTTCGCCTCGACGCTGGCCTGGTCGCAAATGGTCTCTTTCACCTATATGGACATGTGTAAGCGAGGGAACGTCAGCTGCGCGGCGATACTGAGTAGGCATACTTCAGGATCATCGGATACGGATCTCCCGATCAGATTCTCGTCGCTCCATTCGAAAATCACGACACTGACAAGAGGATCGCTATCGCCCGCTTCGTTATCTTTGACGAATACCGTCTCGATATATGGATCGACGCTTCCACCCCACGCCTTGCGACTATACATCCCTGAACATCGCTGTCGGTGGGCGTCGTCTTGTGTCTAGTAAAATGATTTTGTTAGATTTCGGGAGGAATAGTGTCGATTTTATGCGCACCAATTCAACTTCATTTGCAAGAACTCGTCCTGCCAGAGCGGCAGTCAAGCATAGTGTCTGGAGCCAGTGCTTCATGGTGGTCACAAAGAACAGCCGTACTAGGCTTCCAAGTACCCAAAAGGAGAGTCTATGCGCGACCGCAGACCATCCGACGGCAAGCAAGACTTGCAATTATGTTTCGGTTTATCAGATATTGTTCAGAAGGCTGTCGATTGAGCCTCCCTAGGACAGGTGAATCCGTGATAGTATCGCAGCTTGAAAGTATCAGAGTTGAAGCTTACCTGTAAGGAAGTACGTATGGGCTGTCGCGGGCTGTGGCTAGGTATACTGGAACCGGGGAAGCCGCGTGGTGACGGTCCCACCAATCAAACTGTGCCCGCGGCGGCACCGCCATTAGGTTTCTGCCTTTCATGCGAAATTTCTCGTCGATAGCCATCGCAAACGGAGACATTCCAAGCCAAGCTAGGCAAGCAGCAGCAAAATGCCGGGAAAGCAGCTGTCAGATCCCTGCGTTGACTGCAATGATGCGGAGGCTATATTGACGCTGCGTACCCGCCGTCTTTGCAAGTATGTGGCTTCGAAAGATTTTGGTGGCGGGGACGAAATGACTGACCGAATTATCTTCATTTAGGACTTGCTATGCAAGATTCGTGAATTTCAAAGTGTTCAAGCGTATGGAGAACTACCGTCTTCGGAGAAACATGCCTAGAACCGGACCATGCAAGCTGCTCCTGCCTCTATCCTGTGGCATCTCCTCTTCTGTGTTGTTGCACGTACTGAATGCTCAAATCCAACATGAACTCGCCAAGTCGCATCCCTCACCAGGCTTCGATCTCCATGTCCTTGTCATCGAACCTTCTTCTGTTTCTGCTTCTAGTCCATCGTACGATGAAGACTTTAAATTGCTGCAGCAGACGTTTCCTCTGCATTCTTTTACTCGGATCCCGCTTCACAGTATCTTCGAGCTGGATCCCGATCTTCAGGAAGTCATTCCTCAATTTTCCAAGGACGGCTTTGCCGATGATACCGGATTATCTGAAAAAGAGCGTCTTGATGCTTTCCGTGCCTCGATTGCGACTCCTACGTCCAAGGTTGATGTCGACTACATCCTGATCACCAGACTTGTTGTTGCATTCGCGAAGAAAATGGAGTGCAGAGGAGTGTTATGGGGAGACTCAGATACCAGGCTCGCCGCGAAGACACTTGCCAATGTCGCCAAGGGACGCGGTTCGTCTTTGACATGGCAAGTGTGTGATGGAATGTCACCGTTTGGTGTAGAGTTCAACTTTCCACTTCGGGACTTGTTCAAAGCTGAGGTGCATAACTACGCTAGTTTCTTCCCTGAACTGACCAGAATTATCATCCCCGACGAGCCATCATCGGACAATGTACTTACGAAGAACTTGTCCATTGATGAGCTGATGATGCGTTACGTCCAGACACAGGGTGAGAAGTATCCCGGTGTTATGGCCAATGTGACTAGGACTGCAAGTAAGCTTCAAGCTTCCTTGGTCCCTGCCAATGTGCCTCAATGTAGCTTCTGTGGCGCTTTCATGCTGAATTCCGGCAATAATGGTGCTGCTGACACTACTGGTGCCAATCGAGCACTCGAATTATGCTACGCATGCACTAGGTCGCGGCCTGAATTGACCTGCTAATGGGTGGCTTTTTGGAACCACGGATGACACTGCATTGCTTTGGCAAAACATAAAGACACTAGCACCAACTAAGAGGGGGTATACTCTTCTCTTCATCTCCCACGGGACTTTGAGTTGTTCACGACTCCAGTCTCCAAGTCAGCTGCTCGATGCGATGATCCACCAAACCATCCTTTCCGCGGCCGGTCGCCCTGCGAATATTTGGCAGGCTCAGGCCTAGCAGGTCCCGCTTGTGCCTGGCTCTCGTATCTAGGCGGTTCGTCCAAGGCACTCTCGTCATATCTGTCGAATTCCTCCGGCAGGCTGGTATCAACGACACCATCTGGAGTTCTCCTTTGCGCCTTAAGCGCCTTCGCCCCCTTTCCCCGCAAGTGCTTTTCCAAGATGACAGCGTTTCTTGAGTTGCACTTGTACACAGCGTCCGCGACGTCCCCTACGAATGGGACCAGACCGATAACGAAGTCGATCAGCACGTTGATCATCATCATCATCCTGAGGCGTGCTGGTAAACCTCCGTCAATCTCCTCGCAGTTCTTTACGACCATCATGGCGAGTGCGGTATCGCCGACGTCACCGAGACTGAGAAAGATTACGAGCATCAGTGTCAGGTTCAACATTCTGTGCGATTACGGAACTCACAATGGAATCAGCGCAATAACACTGCCCCAGCCAAAGCGAATGCCGCAGAGATTGAATAGGCAGTAGTCTAGTCTGTACGCCCTGCGTTTCACCTGGGTGAGGACTCTCTGATCATTCTCAGAGAGGCCAGGAGGAATTGCCTTGCGTCTCTTCTGCGTCTTCTTGCCGAAGGCTCGGTAGAGTCGCGAAGCCGGAACTTCCTCGAAATAAGGATCCTGGACAAGACCCTGTATCAGTCACCATGCACAGAAATGCCATCAAATTGTTGATCTTTCACGATGAGCTTACCTCTTGGCCGAAATGGTTCCTCGCCGATTCCGCTAAAATTCTCTTGCCGACCAAGGACGCCAGAGCACCCGACATGGCTTCTTCTGAGTCGATAAGTGGAACGAACAATACCTAGAACGAGAGTTAATACAGAAATAGGAGATTTGACAAGGATCCGATCGATCTGACCAAAGTTACTTTCGTGAGGCGTAAAGATTCCAGAGAGCTCTTAGAATCTTTGTATTTGGGTATGCCTCTCAGACTGAGTCGGACAAAGATCAAATAATATAATGTTCTAAATAAATTAAGCTTTTCAAAATTTGACGTAGCAGGTCACAGATGGCGTGGCATAAGCAGGTTTTTTGAGCTAAGCTGTTGAATAGTATCTGTCAATCAGCACTTGTCGGTGCCAAAGCGCTGTCTACTCCGTACCTGTCTCTATTTCCCCCCCTTGGTTCATATGAATGCCAGAGACGTCATCCCGTCCTTAATAATAATAATAGCAGAGACAATCATCACGTTTTCTTTCCCTGATTTGATCCGCACGCCACATAGCCACAGATGTGGCGCTACTACCGAGCCATGAACATCTACTATTGGATGACTGCGCCACAAATCACCTACCTAGGTAGTACCTATTCTTCTTCCAGCTCAGCAGTTGCTCTCTCTCAGGCTCTCTTCCTTGTGATTGTCGCCCAACACTCGATTATCACAGAACGAGTGAACGCACTCAACCTCCGCCTCCCTTCACTATTTGTCGACTCGCTCGCTCTCAAGGTAGACAAACCATTGGTTTGCTCTCGCCACTACTTTCCATTTCCCCCTCAGCAACGCTACGCTTTAGGGCGGGCGCTTCTGCCAAGCACCCTACTGTGGTGTGCTGTTCTCCCCCTCCCTCCATTTCCGCCTCTCTCTCCGCGCCGCTGGTTTCGGAGAGACCTCATCACGCAGACAAAGGCTGTGTTGAAATGCTAGAAGACGTCGGACAGTATGACAGATACAAAGATGCAGCTGGAGGACTGTAAGTTTTCGTCTTCTCTCCGGTCGCTCAATGTATCGACGGCGACTGCAGTGATGGTAATGGTGATGTCGATGACAATGCTAAATGGTTGGACTCCCTGACATTAGGGCTGGATGACCTGTGTGTCCGCTTCATTATAAATTTACCTCGCGAAGAGCTGGAGTCCGTCGAACGAATCTGTTTTCAAGTGGAGGAGGCGCAATGGTTCTACGAGGATTTCATTCGGCCGTTGGACCCGGCGCTTCCCTCGTTGTCTCTGAAAGCTTTCGCGCTGCGCATCTTTCAGCATTGCCCACTGATGTCCCAGTGGTCCCACTACCATCATATTACGGCGTTCTCGGAGTTTCTGGCTTACAAGACTCGTGTGCCGGTGCGTGGTGCCATCCTGTTGAATCAGGATATGGATGAAGTGGTGCTGGTCAAGGGCTGGAAGAAGGGCGCCAATTGGAGTTTTCCCCGCGGTAAAATCAATAAGGATGAAAAGGATCTTGACTGCGCGATCCGGGAGGTCTACGAAGAGACTGGTTATGACGTTCGGGAGGCCGGGCTAGTGAAGGATGAAAAGGACGTTAAGTATATCGAGATCACCATGAGAGAACAGCACATGAGGTTATATGTGTTTCGCGGTGTGCCACAGGATGCTCACTTTGAACCTCGTACGCGGAAGGAAATCAGCAAAATTGAATGGTATAAGCTGTCGGAATTGCCAACATTGATGAAGAAGAGCAAGCCAAATGACGAGAATTTGGCGGTTGCAAATGCGAACAAGTTCTACATGGTTGCACCTTTCATGCACCCCCTCAAGAAATGGATCGCCCAACAACGGCGGCTTGACGCAAGGGCACAACCAGGCGGCGTCAGACAGCTGTCGCAGTTGGAAGGAGAAACGTCTATGGACGAGGCCTTTCAACCCGCCATCCACCATACACCGGCCAAGCATGCTGTTCCTAGTGATTTACCTGAAGTTACTTCCGCAGAGGATGCCTCTTCTCATCTCAAACGACTTCTCAAAATTCACTCAGCCTCTACGCAGGATCAGCTCCCTCCGACGCAGACTTCCGGTCCGGATGCTTCCAAGTCTAATGCTCTGTTGGAATTGTTAAGAAGCGGCTCCTCTGGCAAACCTACTCACCAGCCTTCTGCAAATGACCGGACATCACCCCCTAATGTCTTCCATGGGGTCATTCCCCCACCACATCAACCTCAACCTCTTTCGGCACCAAATTTCTTTCCAGGCTTCCCTCAGCAAGTTGCCTATTCTGGGCAACATGACAATCCATTGCAGATTCCCCGGCAACCACATCATGGCGCTCCTCTTTCACAT